GGCCTTGGCACTGCTCTCAGATGTTACTCCAGTGTTACTCCTTGATGTTATTGTCCTGGAAATATGGGCTTACTCTTATGTGTTATTCTCTGGTGTTCCTCCCTCAGTGTTACACCTCCAGTGTTACTCCTTTATGTTCCTCCCTCAGTGTTACACCTCCAGTGTTACTCCTTGATGTTATTGTCCTGGAAATACAGCCTTACTCTTCGGTGTTATTCTGTGGTGTTCCTTCCTCAGTGTTACACCTCCAGTGTTACTCCTTGATGTTATTGTCCTGGCAATACGGCCTTGGCACTCTCAGATGTTACTCCCCCATAGTTAATCTTTGGTGTTATTCTCTGGTGTTCCTCCCTCAGTGTTACACCTCCAGTGTTACTCCCCCAGAGTTACTCTTGGGGGTTATTCTCTGGTGTTCCTCCCTCAGTGTTACACCTCTAGTGTTACTCCCCCAGAGTTACTTCCGGGTGTTACTCTCCCAGAGTTACTCTTGGGTGCCTTAGTTGTTAATGTTAAAGCTTGTTACATGTCTGAGCTGTTATTTTTCAGGTTCTTCTGTTGACCCGGTTGACACAAATTCAGTGACAACACTGACTTTAATCTCAGCATTACCTCAAAATGCACTTTGATATTTTATTAAAATATTCTAACGAAAGTATTATATAACAACAGAAGATTTTGTTGCAGCAGCAGTCTGTCATCTTGTGTGAGGCAGTTTCAGTGACCGTGCAGCCCTGGTTTTGTAATGTTTCCATGTTTACACAGAGGAATAAGAGATGGATAACTCCCACAAGTCTGTGAATTCTGTTCAGAAGAAGCTGGAGGCGAGCCCAAATGGCTGTCTGGCTTTTGTCATAGATGATCCAGAGCAGTTCTGCTGCCTAACCCCTCTCCCACAGGACAGGCAGAGGGAGATGGCAGTGGAGGGTAGAGTGGCAATGGCACCCATCCTGTTTGGTTTGAGCCTGATTCGGCCCCAAGGCAGGCGATGGTGGCATTATCTGCTAAGCAGAGTCCAACACTGTGGTGCCTTTGCCGGGGCATAAATTTGGGCTGTCAGCATTGAGATGATTGCCTGTCCATGTCATCAGGGTATCAGAGCCGTGTAAGGCGTACAGCTTCCCCTGGTGTCCTTCACTCCGCTCTTCAGCTTGTTGGCATCGGCGTGGGGCCTGCCATCCCCCCCCCCCCCCCCCCCCCCCCCCCCAGCTAGTGGGCTGCAGGACCATTTCCTCTGTTAGTGTCTTGATATTTATCTGCTTGCCTGCAGTTTCCAAGCAGTAGGGGGGCTTCATTCCCTGAAGGGGTATACCCCCCCAGGGAAGGGGCCATGTCACCCTGCCCACCAGTTCCCCAGCATTCTTAAGATCTCAGCTCCGCTTCCTGCCCACCTTCATCCCCGACTCGGCCCTGCCAGCACACCTCCCTCACTGAGTCCTGGGTATATCCTCCGGCCTGCTTTTCGCCTTGTTAACCAACCAAAACTGACCTAATCTTGACATTATACCTGGGTTCTTACCAAACGGTCTGAAGACCCGTTACAGCCAACAGTGAGCATCTCCGGATGTTAAGCTTGCAGCCACAGCTAGGAGCTTCTCTCAGCTGCCTTCCTGATGGTGCGTTTAGGAGAGGGAGACCTCCTGCTGACTGCTGATGTGATGAACGCTAATGAAGGCCTTGTGACAGTTAGTGTTTATTTAACTGACATTTGTCAGACTTCCATGATGGTGTGTGAATAAATGTTCTAACGTTACCACATACGCTCGACATGTCCGTCCTGGAACTGGGCGTGGACTCGCCTGATCAAACCAGAATTGGAACTTCTCCCTCCCTCGCTCTCCCTTGTCTTTCACGTGCGTGCTTGTGTACAGAGGGGACACCTGACATGCTGACCATCACCTTTTCTCCCGGCACCACGGGGGCACGACGTGGGAGGCTCTGAAGCACACCTCCGGCAAAGCGTGCGCACACACAAGCACACGCCGGCGCAGACAATAATGCAGCACTGAAGAGAGCTCCCTTGACTTAACACCATCCACTCGCTGGAGAGGTTTCAGTCCTCTGAATGCGAGAGAAAGGATTGCTGGGAAGGGGGGGCTCTTTCTCTAAAGAGGCCCTCGCTCCCAGGCTGTAGTGATGATTACACTTGTTACTTAATTGCATGTTTGGACCCACCACGCTCACACGGAGCGGCTCCTGTCTTTTGACCCAGCAACTCCTTTGTGTGTGAGCCTGAATAGGAAACAAAATAAAGGGGTGGATTGGGGGGTGCACTTAAATATGTGGTCTCAGAAGCTTCAGTCGAGGGGACAGAGGGTCTTTCAGGCAGCGCTAATGCTGCCCAGCTGAGTCCCGGTGAGGGTCAGGCCGAGCAGCCGCTGCTAAGACATCAGTTCAAAAAGCGTAGAGACTGGGATCCGAACCGGGAACAAATTGGAGTGTGTCCCACAGCAGCCATTCTGCCAGTGAAGGTTTCCTCTCACATTGAGAGGCGATGTCGTCCCTGTGTAGGAGACTGAGGGGGCCCAGGGACCCCATCCTGAGACCGGCCATTGTTTAAGTGCCATCTTATCCGGGTCTCGTCTTTCCTGTTCTCTCTTCTTGCTACCTTGTTCTAAAGTCCTAAGCCTGGCCTTACTGGAAGGCGATCGGAGTCACCTTCTGCCAGGATAAGGTGGAAGCCTTAAGTAAAACACTGGAAATGTTAAAAGGAGAGCAAAAGTGATGTTTTCGCATATCTTAACAGAAAAGTGTGTCTCTGTTGTCATGATACACTCACTGGTTTGGTGAAGTTAGCCTGATAGATTATCTAGGTTCTTAAGCAGGTTCTCTGATGGCGTCTTGACTCCTCCCTCTTGGTGATGTATACAGAGGAGGGTGTCTGTAGTATCTGAAGAGCAGTGTCACTGCAAACCATTGTTAAGTCACGATGTGTGTCTGTGAGGAGTTTATAACCAGTTCTGAAGTATGTTTTTAAACTATAAATCTAACATCTGAGCTATTGGTAAATGCTGCCTTTTTACATTGGCATAAATGTGTACACAAAGTGGGCTAATTAATAGCTTTAAACAGCTGTTCAAACGCGCCCCGCGTCAGAATGCTACTGTCGACGTCGTGTCCGTTGAAATGCTCCGCTAACGATCACCGCGTGTCACTTTGAACCGCGGCTCTCGGCGACACTCCCGCACATCCGCCGCCAGAGCTGTCACAGAATCGGGCCATCGGCGCGGCAACATCTGTTCCCGTAATGAGGAGCAAAATGAATAATTCTTTGTGTTTTTCCTCTTTTTTTGTTGCAGTGTGACAGCGAGAGTGACATCGATGACAAGGTAAGGCTTTGCTCTTTTCCCATCCGTGTGTGGAGCTGTGCTGTATTTGCGTGTGTATGTTTTTTTCCCCCCTCTAGCTGTTGGTATGACAAGACTCTGGCAGACTAGTAGATTTTTATAGTTCCTCTCATTTGCATCTGGGATAAGCGGGATTCTGGGAGATGGGGGGGGCCGCAGACGTGCATCTGGAAGTTTCTCCTACTTGCGAGCGCAGTTCCAGCGATGGAAGGACGGCGGGATGGTTGGCATCACATGCGAGACTCGTGTCGGAGTCTCCGCTGACGGTTTGAGTCTGGGCCATGCCGCATTAGGAAGCGCTGTCACGTCGCCCCCCCTGCCAACCCCCATCTCCTGTGACCTGCGCCATTCCCCACCACCATGTGACCGCAGGTGTGTCACCCCACCACCAAATGTAATTTAAAACGCAGGTGGGGAAAGTATGAGCCCCGTCTGGCATAACGGCGTTCCATGCCCAAACCCCCCCATCCCCCGCACCAGCCAATCTAGATCAGCGTTTATCGCATGCAAGCGAGTGGGTGGACTTGCAGGTTAATTTCATACACTATAAAGATAATTTACCTGAATCAGTTACAGCTCATCTTATCTCCTGGAGCCAGGCTCCAGTCCTCATCACCGGAATACTAATTAAGGCTGAACCGATTCGATCCCCCTGCCTTTTTTTAGTGGTGAATGAAATAACAGCCAGTCTTCTGTAAGGAAAAGACCCACAAATGGGCTGGGGAAATTCCGGGCTACCTGGGACCCAGTGACCCGGTGGCACAAATGAAGGGACGCATCCGGTGAACGAGACTCTCAGTCAGAGTCGAAATCAATATCCCAGACTTTTAATTCACGTCGTGTCTGGCCACTGACAGTGTGAGATGTAGCACCTAAAATCAGGATCCGGAAGCAGTAGAGTTGACGTGGGTTTCAATATCTGCGAAGGCGGCCTGTCTCGAGAGCGTCCAGGAGAATGGAAGCGAGACAAGGATATTGAGGGAGCGAATGATTAATATGTGACTAGGGGGCACTTCATGAGCTATGAGATACTAACTGAAACTAAAGTTTCACCTACATTCATTCCCATACAGTGCAATTGAAAGTAGAAGCTTATAAATGGGTGACAAGGATGATTTGTGTTTGACAAGTTTACCTTTCAGTTCTTTGGAAATGTTTTTATCTCCGCAGTGAAAAATGTGCCCATTTGCATGTTGTAGCACTGAAGCAAGTGAGCCGCTATCTCTGGTGAATCCAGAGAAGCTCACACCCATTCGATATTGTCGGGCGTCAATTTAAATAGGCCGTTATTTAAGGGAAGCTCCCGGCCAAATGCGGGAGATGTTACTGAAATTCTAGCTGGTTTGTGAGCCGCGCTTGTGGGAGAAGGACCAATCGCGTGTCGTTGTAGGAGAAAGGACGCGCTGAGGTTAGAGACTGTGGGAAGTTCTTAGAACGTCCTGTACAAAGCACGGCAAAGTCAGTGAGGCACCGTAATGTACATTTATGGGGAATTTCCGTTTACAGCTTCCAGAACAAGAGCTGGTGGTGTGATGGGGGGGGGGAGGGGTGTCAGGTTGAAGATATTTCTCCATCATAGCTGTCAAGTACAGTTCATCTGTCTCTTTATTATATAATCATCTGTAAGCAAAATGACGTGTGAGATGTATGTGAGGAAGACGTCTAAAGACGTCTATTCTGCTGAAGCCTCGGACTGGCAGTGGGATGTTCTTACGCGTCCAGCGTCTTGGAGAGAGGGCCGGCTGCTCTTTTGGGGACCTCTGGTCATATCAGTTTATTTAGGATTCCGTGGGCTTTGTGAAACCTATGAAGATGCCACACTGCGATGGGTACGATACACGTCATGTTAAAAGACGGATAAAATAAACAAATAAACACAACATGAAGGAAAAATAGCATTCAGACATCAGACACCTGTTTATCTATCGTTACTAACTGTTAATAGGAAAACAGGTGCGGTGTCCGTCTTTGTTCTCAAAGCGACGGTAACGTTCTGTATATTACATCACCAACCGCCCGCACGCTCTCTATGCCAGATTTCCTCACTGAAAGCGTCCCAGCCAGGTGTGCCTGTCAGACCCTATCTGCCGCACTTATTCAAATGAAGTAGTATTTCACGCTTGTCTGCGTGGTGACACGTCACGGCACCTCAAACATGCCGGCACTAGCTTGTCCTCTATGACAGTGTTTCTCAGTGTTTCCTCAGGGACCAACAGTCCATGTTTTTGCTCCCGGTGAGCTCCCTGCCAGATAGTTCACATTTTTGCTCCCTCTCAGCTCACTGTCGGAGGGAGCAAACTGTGGATTGTCTGTGGGTCCCCGAGGACCGGATTGGGAAACATTGCTCTGTGAAGCCGATTTCCCCACGGGGAATCAGAATCTTGTCACTCTTGAGTCGGGCGACGGTGTCCAGATCTTTCACACGTGGTACATTTCGACGGAGAGGAATGGGGCGAGATAAAAACAGGTGTACATTTCCCGTCCACATGATCTCATATCACCGAGCTAACGGCGAAAAAACTTCAAGCTGGAATAGTCGCGACATTGGTCCGGTCTTCTCAGATGTTTTCCATTAATAGGTTTATGGAGTCGGCTTTGAGTTTGCGCCATTAAAATGTCGGCTGGGGTGCAGACTCGCATAAAACGAACTCAATTAGCCTGGGAGCAGTCGGCTGCCACTCTCTGACGGCTCGCTCCCCGCAGCGGATGTCTATAAACGGTTATAAATCCCTCAACGGCCTGACGGAGTCGTCGGGCCCCGTGTCGCTTTCTTTGCTTCTTGCTTTCTCTCTGCTTGCCGTAGTGCTTTTTTCAGGCACATCCTAGATGCCCCGAGCTTTATGGCTCCATAATCTCCACACAGAATCACACATGCTCCCTATCCACCGCGGGACGTCCGTGAGCTTCCTCACATGGCCTGATTTCCTCGGATTCGCCGTTATCCCATCGGCACGTCGCCGCCCCGCACATCCGCACGTTGCGGCCTCTCGTTGCCACTTAATTTTTTACCCGCGGGTTTTCGGGTCCATCCCGCTACTCCGCTCATTCCTTCATGGCCCACGCGAGACATCGATGTTCCCACTTATCGCGCTGAAGCACGGTTCAAATACCACAATTTCCTCTCATTGGAGAGTTTGGAGACGGCCCCCCCCCCTCCGTCTGGAGGGTCCTCTTTGAGTGCCACTCGTCTCCCTGCTGCCTTCCTCCCTGCCTCTGCGTCAGACCCACATTTCTCAAGTCTATCCGAAGCGTCTCTCTCCGCTCTCCTCTGAAAAGCCCACATCCCCCATTAAGTAGCCTATTCTTTCTTTTTTTAAAAGCATCCCCGGTTTCCCCGGCAGCCCAAGATGTCGTAAGTTTGACGCAGTTTAGATCCAGTGGTGCTCTCGCCCTCGCAGGATTTGGTTGTTGCAGTCGATCCTATTGAGACACAGTCTTCCGCGGGAGGCCATGTCCATCACCTCCCCTCCACCCTTTGATTGATGCATGAATTCCCGCCATCCTTCAGTGGAAGCTTGGCATGTGGACAAGGCCCTGAACGAACGCCATCCTGTGAGGTAGAAACAGGGAGGAACTTGGAGTTTTTATGCAAACCCATCTCAGCTCCCCCCAATCGCCATAAATGTAGACAGTATCCATCCCCCATCATAACATATTAGTCATGTTCTCTCCTGTGTATTTTTTTATGGCGAGGGGGGGTTCGGGGGTTGCACATACTTTGTGTGTGATCATCTGCCCTCAGCTTTTAATGACATTAGCTGTACTGCACATATGCTGCCCCCCCCCCCAATGTGCCTCATTTTAAACTGGCTTGTAGCTGGTATTCCCTTTAGCCTTGGAGGGGGCGGGATTGGACCTTCGCTGGGGAATTTAAGGGAACAGCCACACTAAAGCAAAGAATATCCACCATGCAAAAATGGGCATGACTGGATAATACATTATACTACAGTATCTCGATATACCACAGTAGCTTGGGTACACCGTAGTATTTTCATTAAGCAAATTAGTGCTGCTTTTGGCAGTACCATATGGCAAGATGCGTGAGAAGATGCATGTAGATAGTGATGTGTTATAAACAGGGATTGACTGGTACGCATTAGTGGTATTTAGGGTCAAATGCACTAGTAATGTCTTGTCATAACAGCACAAATGTGAATTTACTTTGTTACCGGACGTGTTGAGTAGCTGGAATGGCACTGGATGACAGGCAAATATTTTTGCGCACTAGTGAGAGCATACCTTAATTCCAGAGGATTCTGCCTGGGATTTGATGTGCAGATCATCTTTCCGTCCTGTGAGTTTCCTTCTATGATCAGACCTTTCTTCAGCCGGTGATCAGGCCAGCCCATCAAATGCTGAATGAATTTGGTTTATTTTTCCATCTGGAAAGCTCCGTCTTGGCAGAGGGCGAGGGGGACATGGCAGGAGGTCTTTGGGACAGTGAGTAACAGTAGTGGGGCCTGAGAGTGTTTTAGGGCTGCGGAGCTCAGGCAGCAGCATCCAAACAGAGTTAATTTATGCAGCTGTTATAACAACTTCCTGTGAATAGTTTTTTTTTTCTCAGCGAAGGTACCCAGCGTCAAAATCACACCATAAACTCTGGGGAAACGGCAGCCACCGCGGGCAGGATCCCGCCGAGCCCGACGGGGCGGTGACGTCAGCGTCACCTCTCGTGTGACACTGCGGCTGGGCCTCCTGTACCCACTGTGCTGGCTATATTGTGCTCTGTCTGTAAAGGTCACGCCTTCAAGGTGTGTTGTGCAAACACTCTGCGTGATTACGGCGTGCTGCTGGCTTGCGGGCCGATGGCCGCTTTCCTTCCCGGTGTGACAGCGTGGAATGGCGTCCACTTAGAGAACAAAAACATCGCAGAGAGTTTCCTCATGTTGGCCCCATGTCTGTGCCCCATGTCTGTGCCCCGCGTCTGTGCCCCGCGTCTGTGCCCCGCGTCTGTGCCCCATGTCTGTGCCCCATGTCTGTGC